GCTGAGCGAGGTGCAGGTGCAACACCGAGGGTTGCGATCCCGTTGCTGGTCCCGGTCTGGTACGGGTGCGACACTGAGGGTTGCGATCCGTTGCCGGTCACGAAAAAATACAAAAAGGAAAAAAAAATGAGGAAAAACCAAAGGTGGGGACTGTTCTAGACAGATGATACAGATATAACAATCAAATATAATGTGTGAAAATTTATGGGATCAACGGAAAATTTAAATGTGGACTAGGTATTTAGATATGAGGGAAACACTTTTTTTCTCTGCTATATATAATGGTATTGTGGTTATGTTAAAGACTGTCCTTAGTTTTATAAGATGCATGCTTGGCAAATGTTAATTTTTAAATCTAGATGGTGGGTACGCATTTTATTGTTTTAAACCTTCTGTATATTTGACAGTTTTAAGAAAATGTTGTGGAAAGTAGACTATTTGCTAAAAATCTGTTGACTTGTGGGTCAGACAACTGGAAAAGTGGGGAAAAAAATACACAAACATCTACTGTTCTCTGTTATTGTTATTCTATTATTTTATAAGGGCATTAACTGCCTCTATATATCAATGGAAGACTTTATAAATGCATTATTTACATAAAACACATAAAGGCAGGAAATACAAAGTAATGTAAAGAAAGGCGCTATGGATTGTAACACTCCACACATTCATTCCAAGAGAATGAAGTGTTCTGTAAGGGATGAAGTGGCACCAAAAAAATAAAAAATAAAAAATGTATATATATATATCTTCAATAAAACTGTTATTTTAAAACATAACTATGGAATAAGCATAGCTTGAATATTTTGCAACCTGCACTTTGTGAAGGATGATACATACTATGAAATCAAAGTTAACTAATGTAAGGAAAAGTGAAGGAAACAATTTCTTAAAACATTCAACAACATAGCCTTGAAGATGCTTAGCACCCCAGGTCTTTCCTTCAGCACCTGTTTGTAGGATGTTATATAAACAGTAATGTCCAAGTAAAGTTATGTGGCCAATACATGCTTAAATTGATATTTACAGTACTAGAATTTATATCAATTTTCCCTCATTTACCTTAGGAAAATTTCTTTGTGCAAAGATGTTCCGTGATTTGATTCTTCATTTTTAAGCAGTTCCCATTACCCAGTAATATTTGTTAAACATTTGGTGTATACACAAAAAAGTATTTTTAATTCTACCAATTTTCCAACTCCATGCTAGTCAATTTTACTCAACTCGAATTTATATAATTTATTAATTAATTCAACCAGTACTTATTGACCATGTGCTATATGCAAGGCACTGGAGAAATGAAAATGATGAAGTTGAAATCTCAACTCTCAGAAGATGGCTTTACATTCTGATAGTGGAATGCTGTGGATATTAAATACAGTAGTATTTTTTGCTTATTTCTATTTGCACTTCTGCCAGTTTTCCTTTTATGTTGTTTAGGACCCACAAACTCAGTTATCATTGCTAAATGATTACTACATCAATGCTTTTTCCAATGAAAATTTTTCCTGATATGTTAAAGTAATCTCTATTTTACTTAAATGTATGGAGTACCAGCCTTCCCATTATTCCTTAAAAATCAGTCATTTCATTTTTAGTGTCTTGCCACGCTTATTTTCTTAGGTAAAGCAAGTCCAATTACATCTTGTTTAATTAGTTATCTATGTATTTTCTTTCCTCACTGTTTTCATTTTGATTTTTTCCTTACCCACTTTCTGCAGTGAACTCAATTTTCCGTTGCTATTTTTTCCTCACATTATTTATATAGCTGCTTTCATTACTTCCTTGTTGTTGTGGGATATGGGGTAGCATTTGGCAACCCAATTTAGCAGGTCTCTTAGGCTCATTCCATGACAAAGTTAAGATCATGTCCTTACTTTCTCTCATTACTCTAGAAAGTCTTTTGTTTCTTAAATAAGTTGTGACTTTCAGCACTGTAACAAGACCTGAAAGGATCCAGTCAGGAAGTTTGGGGCCCGAGCACAGTAGGCACTCAATGAAGCATGTGTTTCAATGGAAAAAATGAACTTCCTTCAGTAGAACAATCACAGGGGAACCTTTAAGAATTTAGGAGTCAAGTGAAAATAATGGGAGCTGTTTGCCTATTTTTTCCTTCAGGATGACGTTGGATGTCAACATCTAGTGAAAAATTTAGCCCAACATGTTTTAAAGATTAAGCTTGAGGTGTTTAACTTTTGCCTGTTTAACTAAATCTGTACACGTCTAAGGGTTATATACATTAGTTTATCTTAACATCAACTTTCATTAAGCTTCTCTTCAATACTTCAGTATTTGTGGGAAAGTATAATTAAACAGTGATCACATAGAAATCTTTAAGATACTTTCAACTTTTTTTTTTGGCAAACCCACTGGCTCCACATGGCAGTTATGGCATAACAGGAAAAGGGGAAGTAAAAAAGGAGAGGGAACCCTTTATATATTTTAAGGCTTCAAAGCTGGGAAAAAATAAAAGCCTAAGCAGCTTTTCCTTTTCTATAATGTCAGGATTATTCTCTAGTGTGAAATCTCTACTAGACAGACTCTTTCCCAAGTTACACTCATAAGGCCTCATTAAGAAGTACACAGTAAGAGTTGATGATTACAGGTTTCTGAATACCCTTTCATCAGGTTTCTTTCTGGAATAAATTAAACCAATATCAAAGGTTAAGAAGCCAATAAAGTTTTCTCCTCAAATTTCACATTAAACGTAAATAGGGTATATCCATATTACTAATTCTGATACTTCTGCTGAGTGGTATCTAACATATATTGCACTTCTTCGGATTTCTTTTGAATGTTTTAACACACAGTGCAGAAAATAAAATTTAAACGATAAAGTCATAAAACCGAAATGAAGTCTCCCATACCCATTATTTACGATGTTTGGCACCCGTATGAACACGCTGATGCTGAATAAGGTTTGTACTCTGGGTGAAGGTTTTACCACATATACGACATGCATAGGGCTTCTCTCCTGTGTGAATTCTCTGGTGTTGAATAAGGCATGTTCTCTGGCTAAAATCTTTATCACATTCATTACATTTATAGGGTCTCTCTCCGGTATGAGTTCTCTGATGTTGATTAAGTGATGAGGAATAAATAAAAGCTTTCCCACATTCGTTACATTTATAGGGTTTCTCTCCAGTATGGATCCTTTGATGCTGAGTAAGATTTGCACCCTGTCTATATGCTTTTCCACATATATTGCATTTAAAGGGTTTTTCTCCATTATGAATCCTCTGATGTTGAGTAAGGTGCACACTCTGGCTGAATGCTTTCCCACACACACTGCATTTATATGGTTTCTCTCCTGTATGTGTTCTATGATGTTGAGTAAGGTTTGCACTCTGGCTGAAGGCTTTCCCACATATACTGCAAATATAGGATTTCTCTCCAGTGTGGGTAGTTTGATGTTGAATAAGAGTTGAGGAATGAGCAAAGGCTTTTCCACATTCATTACATTTATAACACTTCTCTCCAGAATGAATTCTCTGATGTCGAATAAGGTAAGTACTCTGGCTAAACACTTTCCAACACTCATTGCATTTATATGGTTTCTTTCCAGTATGTATTTTTTGATGCTGAAGAAGGTGTGTACTCTGACTGAAAGTTTTTCCGCATTCGTTGCATATATAAGGTTTTTCTCCAGTATGAACTCTCTGGTGATTAATCAGTGATGAACTATGGCTGAAGGTTTTACCGCATTCCAAGCATTTATATGGTTTCTCTCCAGTATGTGTCCTTTGATGTATAGTAAGGTGTGCACGCTGACTAAAGTCTTTCCCACAGTCATCACACTTATAGGGTTTCTCTCCAGTATGAATTCTCTGATGAATAGTAAGGTGTGCACGCTGGCTGAAGGCTTTACCACACTGGTGGCATTCATATGGTTTTTCTCCAGTATGCATTCTCTGATGTGCAATGAGGGATGAGATATGCCTAAACTCTTTCCCACATTCTTCACATTCATAAGATTTCTCTTTGGCATGGGAACTTTGGTGTTTCAAGAGAGATGGGTATTTCCTAAATTTTTTCCCACACACATTACATTTATAAGGCTTCTCTCCAGGAAGTATTTTCCCATGTACAATACCATATGAGACATGATTGAACGCTGCGCTGCCTTCATTGTACACAGAAGTTTTATTATCTGATTGGCTTTCAAACTGTACAATTAGGTTTGAGTGCTTTTCAAAATTATTCCTATATATATATTTACTAAGATATTCTCCTGTAGGGTCATCTTCTTGTGAAAGGACTGACTTCAAACTGAAATTTCTTTCATTAGTGGAAATTTTCCTGAAGGTATCTGTTGTTTGCCTCTCTAATCTGACATCATAGTCATATGATTCTTCTAATTTGACGGTCTGGGTTCCATTCTTTCTGAATTTAGAAAGATTGTCTACTGGAGTACATGCATAGGCTTCAGTTTTCCATTCTGAAATAAAAAGAATATAAAAAGTCTTTCTTTATTTGGAGAAAGGAAACTGCCATAATAGAAACAAAACATGAATAAAATGCCTAAACACTGTAGCTCTGACAGTCTCATTAACATGGTCCTTAAAACTTGGGAAAAGAGACTAAGAGGGCAGGAAAAAAGGAGGCTAAATTGTTGAAAATGGAGAAGCTCTCACTTCAATGTGGGCACAGAGTAAATAAAATAGACTAGGTGAGGTGACAGAGCTAGGAGACTTAAAAACAGTAGATAAGACTGTAAAAACAGTGGATAAGAACTTGGGATGGCTTCATGAATTAATTTACATAACAGGATCATAAAATAGGCCTTCTGATGCTCATCACTCCCTCTTCCAATCTCCTCTGCACAATCCTACATGATATTTCTAAAGCAATTTCATGGAGTGCTTTCTATGCTCAAGTATCTCTAGTAATTCTCCCATAGCCTAAAGCAATGGTGATCAAAGTGCAGCCCCCAGACTAGCAGCATAAGCATCACTATCACCTGGAAATGTGTTAAAACTGCTGGGTCCCACCAGACATACCAAATCAGAAACTCTGGCAGTGTGGCTGAGCAATTTGTTTTAGCAAGCCCTGAAGAGGGGGTTATGTTGCACACTAAAGTTTGAGGACCAGTGGCTTAAAAGATAAGTTAAAGAGAGGAAAAGAAAAAAGTTCAGAATACCTCACATTCAGGTATTTTGGCATTCAGTCCCAAAATAATCTAACCTTTTGCTATTTTATTATATCTTCTACTACACCTCATATTCACCTTAACTTAAAGTTTAAAGTTATCCATTACTTCCTCATAATCTTCTATAGATGCCATGCTAATCCCAGACTATAGGCCTTCTGTTATGATACCATCTCCACCTATTAAAAAAGATGTTTATAGACCAGAGCTCATGTTTCCCTCTAAAATGCTCCTTCTTAGATTCTAAAATACAGATTAGGAAGAATAATATATGAAACTGCCTTTTTTATAGGTCAAAATAGCTGAATGTCAGCAATTTCATATGGTTCAACCTAAGGTAATGTTGGACCCATGACAGAACTTGGCAGTACATGATTATTTCACAATTTTTGTGCATTTCTTATATTTCCAATTTAGATGCAAACTTGGGAAATAGCTTATGCTTTCATATTTCTTTCAGAAAATGGCTCAAGACTCTGGATGTGGTGGCCACCCAATTGAACTGGTAAAATACATGACAATAACTTGTATGAAGGTTAGCTCAAATGAAAGTGTATGCATATACACACCCATACACAAATAAAAAACAAAAAAATTCTGACACCAAACCCAGCTGCAAGGCAGTCAAATATGTATTTATGATACCTATTATATTCCCAATATGGTGATTTAAAACAAATCTTAAGTTACAAGACCCTTGCCCTTTGAAACCAGGTGTTAAACACATAACTTGCAAATGTTAAGAATTATATAGTGTAATATAATCAAATATAGAATTTATATAATATAGGAAAAATAGTACTTGATAGTTCAGAAACTTTCTAAGATGCAGATCAGAGTATAACTTGACAAATATATCCAACTCAATAGAATAGTATGCAGCTATTGGAAATGACAGCTATCTCCATCAGTAAGTGACTAGAGTATGGGATAATGGACTATTGATAACTGGTAATAATAATTAGGTAGGTCTAGGTACATTGATATAAAAAGTACGCAGGACACATTATTAATTGAACAAAATCAGGTATGTAAAAGTATGTATAGCAAGATCCTATCTGTGTAAAGATATGCTATATGTATTAAAGACAGACAGATACCCACACACCCAAACACTGACAATCTACAGGGAGAAGGCCCTGGTAATGACTGAGGGAAGGAAGACACATATGTAATTTGCTTCCTTGTACGGCTTGAATTTACAGCCTACTTGTATTTTATTCAAATACAAACATGAAGGGCTGGCCCATTAGCTCACCTGGGAGAGCGTGGTGCTGGTAACACTAAAGTCACGGGTTTGGATACCCATACTGGTTAGCCAACAACTCCCCCCCTAAATCATAGTTGACACCAGAAAGTGTTTAGGAATCATGTTAAATGAAAAAAGCAGTATCATAACTAGCATGAAAACACATTAGACGGGCCGGCCCGGTGGCGCACTGCTACAGTGCGCCGCTTGGGAAGTGTGGCGGCGCTCCCGCCGAGGGTTCGGATCCCACATACAGACTGGCCGCTCACTGGCTGAGCGAGGAGCGGGGGCAACACCGAGGGCTGCGATCCCATTGCCGTCCCGGTCCGGTACGGGCGCGACACTGAGGGTTGCGATCCGTTGCCAGTCACGAAAAAAAAAAAAAAAAAAAAAAAAAAAAAAACACATTAGAAAAATGCTAACAATGAGATTATAGGTTTTTCTTTCTATTTTCTAATTTTCAATAAATTGGCTATATTACTTTTATTGCTATTTAGTACTAGAAATGTAGTTATGGTTACCTTTATAGAAGAAAACATTTTTAAAACCAGCTTTTTTTTTTTTTTTTTTTTTTAAAAAGATGACCGGTAAGGGGATCTTAACCCTTGGCTTGGTGTTGTCAGCACCATGCTCAGCCAGTGAGCCAACCAGCCATCCCTATATAGGATCCGAACCCATGGCCCTGGTGTTATCAACACCACACTCTCCCGAGTGAGCCACGGGCCGGCCCAAAACCAGCTTTTTCAAACCAGGATTTGTTATGCCCCTCCCAAAAAGAACAAAATGAGAATGTGAATAGACTATACAGGTGAGTGTATATATATACACCCAAAAAAGATGAGATAGTTCCAGAAGCTGTAATCGGAATCAGTCTATGGCAGATTGTACACACCCCTGAAAAAGAAGTACTTAAGTACTTTTTTTTTTTTTGGCAGCTGGCCAGAATAGGCATGGAATGCTGTACCTTATAAAAATGAAGAACTGAAGTTACAATAAACAAGCGGAGAATGTGAATAGACTATACAGGTGAGTGTATATATATACACCCAAAAAAGATGAGATAGTACCAGAAGCTGTAATCGGAATCAGTCTATGGCAGATTGTACACACCCCTGAAAAAGAAGTACTTAAGTACTTTTTTTTTTTGGCAGCTGGCCAGAATAGGCATGGAATGCTGTACCTTATAAAAATGAAGAACTGAAGTTACAATAAACAAGCATACAGCAACAAGTCTGAATAATAACCATGAATAAATTACCACTAAAAGCATTCATTTTAAAACACATCAGTTTATTAGAAATTCAGAAACTGAATCATTAAGCAGGGCTTAAATATGTGTATATCACTAACAAGAAAGGGTTGGTTAGGAGTGGTTAAGTATCTGGGGCTGGCTGGTTAGCTCAGTTGGTTAGAGTGGTGCTGATAACACTATGGTCCAGAGTTACATCCCTGTATGGCCAGTCGCCAAAAACAAAACAAGACAAAAAAAGAAGTGGTAAATATCTGTTGGTTAATAAGGCCAAATAGTGGTATACTATTTCTAATAGAGGACATCAGTGTTCACTCAGGTAACCAAGGAAAGCTTCAGTGAGACTATAATTTGAGTTGTGCCTCAAAAGAATGGCTAGGTCCTGTGAATTACCAAAGTTTCCGTTTCTTAAAGTATGACTGATTAGATATCTGAACCATAGGTTCAGCTATTATGTATCTCTGAGCTGGCAAGAAAGTCAAATCCACAGATGCCAAAAAGTCAATATGAAGGCAGGAAGTCAGCAAGAGCTGCCTGAGATAGCTCCTCGAATCCTGTTGATGACCTTAAGCTTCCACTCTGAGAGTGCAAGGGGCTTTGGGGCCAGAAGATGAAGCCTGGGGCCCAACCAAGGAGGGAAGGTTGACAGAAGTCTCTTTCACAAAGGATTACAAACTATGTGAGGACAGGCTGGAAAAACAAAACAAAAAAACCCCATCACTACAGAAGGAAAAAAGCAACTTGCTTTTCTCAGTCTTGGTGCTCTTTGGAGGGAGAAAAAAAATCTCCCCCCAAAATGCATAACCATAAACAACTCCTTTTTGTGGACTGACGGGCCTAATTTGTACTCTTTGAATGATGTAAAAATGCCTGAGAAGTTAACCTAAAATGGTCCCAAACTGGCAGTGTCTCCCAGAAGACTATCCTGACTCTACTCCAGGCTTGTTTTGATTACAGTATGTATGTTTTCTCAGTGGTTAGAATGAGCTGAATTTATTCCCCAATTTAGTGTGCTATAGGTGTATTTTTGTGCCATTCTGCCAAACTAAGGCAAATAAGGCAATATATTATGGAGAAGAATTAGCTCTTTAAGTCATACGACCCTTAAACACCTAATGACCAAAGATAACTTTTTTAAAAAAATGAAGCAATTCACTTGAAGGTAGCATATTATGTTTTGTTGTTATTGTTTAATTCACTGTTATTGGTGCTATTTTCTAGCACCAATATTGGTAGACATACAAGAAATCAGTGCCTTAAAAAAAAAAGGAATAGGAAAGCAAGATGCAAGAGTATTCACAGTGTACTTCTTCTGTATGCAAAAGGAGATATAAAAATATATTACAGATTTATTTTTGCAAAGAGAAACATAGGAAGGATAAACCAGAAACAACATGGTTACCTATAGGGACTGGATGGGAACAGGGCAGAAGGGATGGGAGTGTTTATCTTTCTACATAGTTTTGACTTACAAAACATGTTAATATTTTTACATACTCAAAAATGTAAAATCAAAAATCAAAAACAAGAAAACATTATCCTTAGTGGGACATATTCTAAGGATAAAAAGGACTTCAAAGAAATCTTGAACTAGCAGTTTGTTATCAGTAGTGGTATTGATGTAATTCTGAAACTATTTTTGTGGGTAACATATGATAGAGCAAATAAGTAAACATATTGATTTTGCTGTGAACCAGGTTATTTTCTGTATGGGAAAGGAGATACAAAATGGAATATGGTTATATACAAAATGAATACCGTTGTGGTGTTAGATTTGAATTAGTTATCAGTGTAAACTCATGACTTTAAAAAACAAAACAAAACTACATACACACATATTTCCCAGCTCTATCAGCTGAACAGATCTAGAAGCAATGCTGTCCATGATAGTGATACCCTAATAAATGATACCCAAAATAGTGAGCACACTTACTGCCCAGATCTTGGTTTCTAACTACTATTCCCCACTAAAATGAACCAGGGTTCTTTGGAGAAATTCCAGGTCTAAGGTTAGCACAAGGTTAAGCCTAAAGAACATCTTGTTGTGCCAGAAAGCAAGGAAATGTTTAAAGACTAATGGGAACATGTCAAAAAGATGTTGGACTTGCTTTGAAGGGCTCGTGTTGCCTGAATTTGGGACAATTGAGCATCAAAAAGAAAAACAAAAAAGCCCTAGAATTAATAGACTAATAACACATTGAATTTTCAAAAATTCCATTAGATGATGTGGTACATACACATAAAAATGGGGTGGGAGGAGGGAGATCTATTCTTTACAGAAGAATGCTATTAATCATTTAGAAGAGATGACTGAATTAGAAAATCAACATTTTGCAACCAGCAATACAATGAAGCAAGGACCATCAATGGATGCTACAAATCTTACATAAAAGGTTATCAAGGAATAGAACAGTCATGTGTCCTCAAAGTATCACTCCAATCACTCCACAGATCACTTACTAATTACAAAGAAAAAATGTGCCTTTAAAATGAAGATCCTTTAGATACCACCTTAATCAAACTGAGCATCGGCAATGATGGGACAAACGGATATTAGGTGCCTCCTGAGGAAATACAATGGAAAGTACATATTGCCTCTGAAATATTCTTGAAAAAATGTTTAATCTGAATCAAATCATGAGAAACAAAGCTAGATGGATCATTCTTAAAAAACAAAACAAAACAAAAAAAAAACAACTGGCCTGGATCCTTCAACAAGTAACAGTATCATGAAAGATTTAAAAAAAAAAAGGCTGGGGAACAGTTCTACATTAAAAGAGACTAAAGACATGAGATAAATAAGTAGAACGTGATTCCTGACTAGATCCTAGATTAGGGAGAAAAATATCTATAAAGAATATTTTTGGAACAGTTGGAGAAATCTGAATATTAGATTATATGTTTGATGACACTGGTATAAATGTTAAATGTCTGGAATGAGAATGGATGCTTATATGGGAGAATGGTGTATGTTCTTTGGAGATGTCTGGGGGTGAGATGTCATGATGCCTGTATAACTAAATTTCAAATGGTTCCATTGCAAAATTAAAGTGTGTGTAAAAAGGTAAAGCAAAAGTGGCTAAAAGATGATAATTAGTGATTCCAGGTAAAAAGTATATAGGTGTTTAATGTACTGCGCCTGCGACTTTTCTGTAGGTTTGTGTATCAATCTGTTTCTGTTGATTATAACAGACTACCTGAAACTGTGTAATTTATAAAGAAATGAAATTTATTTCTTACAGTTTTAGAGGCTGGGAAGTCCACGGTACAGGGGGTATATCTGGTGAGGGCCTTTTTCTGGGTGGGAACTTTCTACAGGATCCTGGCGATGCAGGGTAACACATGACGAGAATATCGCAAACGCTCTCACATGTGCTCCTTATAAAGCCACCAGTCCACACCCATGATTAACTCATTACTCCATGAATGGATCAATCCATTCATAAGGGCATAGTCTTCACCATCCAATCACCTCTCAAAGGCCCCACCTTTCAAATATCATAATCAGATTTCCTACCCTCTTAACACTGTTACAGTGGAGACCAAGTTACCAACACATGAACTTTTGGGGGACACATTTGACCCATAGCAGTCTGAAATCTTTCAAAACGAAATTATGGAGGAGAGAAGAAAGGAATGGGAACAACCAAAAAATCCATTAGTGTAGAACAGGTTCAATAAATTATGAGACAATAAAATATGATGCAGATGTTGACTCTTTAATTCAAAGAGGCTCATGTGCTGGTTTTTTTCTCACCTGGACTAGGTCCTTCTAAAATTTCTTTTATCACCATCCATGGCTCTTCCAGTAAGGGAATCACAGTTGGTCTGTACACTGTAAGTCCTGTTCAGGAGAAATATAATGACTTTTATCCTGGAATGTAAACAGTCGTTCAAAGTTTATTACCTGATTTCTCCAATGTTTCATGGACATGATCTAATAAGAGAATTAGGTCATTGTCCTTTTCAGAGCTAGGATGAAAATTTCCTGCCCCGTAAGAGGATATGTGCATGGAGATCATGGGGGGAAAACCCTTTACAGCAGCAGAAAATGGGTAAAGTGGAGTTGGGTGGCGGCACCGTGAAGCTGTGCATCACAATTTCCAATGATCTTTCACTTAAAAACCTTTTTTTGGGAAAAGGCAGTAGAGCATGACCATTTTTGTACCTGAATGGGATGAAAACACTCACCTCTAGACCCCATTTTAAGCCAAGTACTTCAGAGGCCCAACCCATTCTTAATAACTGGAGAAAGACAGATACTCTGGTGGGCATGCAGGGAGAAGGAAGGCTGTAGATGATCCTTACCCAGAGAAACCATGTTCCAGTAGTTCTGTAATGTCACAGTCTTGTATAATTCCTTCTGTACAGGACGCATTAGCTCCCAGTCCTCCTGGGTGATGTCCACAGCCACATCTTTGAATGTCATTGACTCCTAAAATATCAAATATAACTTGGTTCAAGAACTAGTGGGAAGGGGGACAGTGATAACACTGGGTGCATGTATGCTGGTGGTAGGGTCATAGAATCTTAAGCTTTTGTAGGATCCTAAAAGTTGTCTAGTCATAACCCTCACCCAGGGTGTGGACAACCCCACAGCATCCCTCAATGGCCCTAAAGAGAAGTTTGAAAAGAAAGTAGAACTTATTGTTTTCAACTGGCACTAGCGCATGCATTGCTGGCTCCATCATAAAGAAAGGGTTTTAAATTTTAAACGTAGATGACAGTTGAATGGTTTTGCTTTTCAGCTCTGCCTTGAGAATAAATTCAACATATTATAATTAAAATTTTAACATATTTTTGCATGCTCTATGATGAAATGCAATCATTCATTCATTCATTCTTTTAAGAAATAAAACTGGTAACAGCAGCCACACTGTTGAACTGCTGTACTTTTAGATACATTTCACAATCTGGTAAGGTTAGTGTCCCTTTTTTGCTCCTCTTCCTTTTGTTAAAAAAAATTCTTCATTAATCTTTGCTTTGGATTGACTGTCCCCCCAAAACTTAATCCCACCGTAACTGGGGATATCCTATTACGGTAACTGAAAGGTGGGGCCTTGAAGAGGTTGATGGTTTAATGGTGGTCGTGGGCGTGATCCTGAAGACTTTAAAAGGATAGCACATGAGAAGTTCTCTCTCTCCCTGTCTCTGCTCTTCCATTTTCTGCCATGTGAGACCCGTGTGTTGCTAGAAAGCCACCACCAAAGAAGACCCTCACCAGATGTGTTCCTTGGACTTTGGACTTCTGAGCTTCTGATACTGTAAGCAATAAATATTGTTTCTTTTTTTTTTTTTTTTTTTGTCTTTTGTCTTTTTCCGTGTCCGGCAACGGATCGTAACCCTCAGTGTTGCCCCCGTACCGGACCGGGGACCAGCAACGGGACTGCAACCCTCGGTGCTGCTCCCGCGCCTCGCTCAGCCAGTGAGCGGGAACCGGTCCGTATGTGGGATCCGAACCCTCGGGCGGGAGCGCCGCCGCGCTTCCCAAGCAGCGCACTTATCCAGTGCGCCACTGGGCCGGCCCTAAATATTGTTTCTTTATAAATTACCCAGTTCCAGGTATTTTGTTACAAGCAACAGAAATGGACTAATACACTCTTAAATGTTTATTTTTTCATAATATTGTCAGTATCTTTAAAAAATCATTTTGGGATTTTAAAATTACTTTAAGTGTATAATTTAGGGAGAACTGACACCTTTACAGTATTCAAGTTTCTTTCATGTCCTATAAAATGATATAGAACATGAAGGAACTGCAAAGTTTACACTATGCTTAGATATTTACTCTAGATATTTAAAGGGGTTTTTTTTGGGGGGGGGTACTGTGAATGGAATCTTTTATTTCATTTTATCATCTATCTGATGTTTATATTTAAGAAAGAGATTGATTTTTGCATGTCCTTTTTCTATAGCAGTCACTTTCCCCAATTTTCCTATTACTGTTTCTAACAGTTTTTCCCTTGATTTTCTTAGGTCTTCCAGGTAAATGTTCATATCATCTATAAATAATCATTTTAACTTGGTTACCAAAGGCTTTCCAATTTCAGACCTTGTATATTTTTATAGCAAATCTTTCCCTTAAGGTGGCTTAAGTTGCTACTCAAAAATAACACAGACTCGTGATCAACAGTAATATCATAGAATACATGGCCTTTAATTACTTGCTAATGAGAAAAAATAATATTAGCAACTATTATTTACTGATCACTTAACTGTAATCCAGGCTAACCCAAGTCTCATGACATTTAGTCCTCAAAATCTAAGAGGTCAACTCTATTCATTAGGGATGAATAATTCTTGTCCCAAATCACAAATTCAATGGCAGAGCCAGGTACTAAACCCTAGGACTATCTGACTATGGAGGTCAATCCCTTAACCTCTGTGTGATATTGCTGACTTACAGTTAAAAAGTGAGGAAAGACAAATCAAGGGAAGGCACTGGAAACCCATTTCCTATATAGCACATTCACCTACCTTAACAGGCAGGGCAACTAAGGAGAGAAACTAAAGATAGGTTCTAGACAGGGCTTTGGGGGCACAGTGGTTACTGAGACGATATAAAATGTTCTCACACTAAAAAGGCATTTTAAAATCACAAAAGAAATTCAAACTCACTTTGGTCACCAAGTCATTTAGCCACCATGCTGGGCAAGCTTGTCTTCCTCTGGAGTCTTCCTCTGGGGTGTCTTGGGGAAGGGCAGAGTTCTGAGGAGCTAGGGAAGAGAAAGAGATCATGATGGAGATTAGTCCTGTTGAATAGCCTAGGAAACCCTTCACCAAATAGATGCCTATAGTTTCTTAAGGTAAGAAGTCAGAAGGAAACCAAAAACAGCACTCTGACTTCAAAGAATCAGAGGGAAGGGCCAATGACTTCTCCTGAGATGCCAAAGCAGACTTCAAAAACAAGCCTAAAAACAAACAAACAAACAAACAAAAAAAAACAAGCCTGCTCTAGTACTCTTAAGTATGTGTACAAAATTCACAATTTTCCACTGAATCCTTATGTAAAACACATTTTGTGAGTTGTCTCTTTTCTTAATAAGGCAATGTTCTCTGGACCCTTTCTATCTTTTTGGGTATTTGTTATTATAAAATCCAATTCACAAAGCAAATGATTTATTAGTAGAAAGGTGTAAACCTCTGCAGGTAAACTTTCTGAGAGCTCACATAGGGGTAATTTGTTGTGTCTGGTCAGTCTTTCATGACATTTCTCCGAGTTTAGATAATGTGTGTTCGGTCCCGAGGAATCTGGAAGGGGAACATCATACAGGATGGAGCTCATGTTAAAGACTAACCCTAACTGATCTTTGTTCTCCTCAATTTCTTTAAAGGGGCTGCTCTCTGATATGCTAGTTGTATTCTCTGACCACCCAGGATTCCTCCCCACTCCATTCCACATTTCTCACCTTCCTCTTCTAGAATCTGAGTCAAATCCTCCACCAGAGTCACCACTTCTTCACTGCTCTCTGGATACTGGGACTTCACCCAAGTCCTAACCTCCCCAGGCAAGATGGTCAGGAATTGCTCCAGCACCAGCAGATCCAGGATTTGTTCCTTTGAGTGAATCTCAGGTCTTAGCCACTTAAGGCAGAGCTCTCGGAGTTGACTCAATGCCTTTCGAGGACCAGCCAGGTCCGGGTATGAAAAATTCCTAAAATTCTGTCGACAGGTCTCAGTGTCACGCAAGTGTCTTGAAGTAAGGATTTCCTTTTCTACCTTGTGGGGTCCACTCAGAGCCTTGTCTGGCTTCCACATAAAAAAGATTTGGGAGCGTGAAGAACTGGTCATCCTTTTCCTTGAGGCTAACATTGCTATAGACAGGAGAGTCAATCTGGCAATGTTCTTTTTACTTCAACAGTAGTAGTAAGCCAACTCCTTGAAATCTCATGCTACAGCCACAACATTATATCAAGGGGTGCTGCAGCCAGGGGCAGAAGAGAACAAGGTAGAGCTGGCAGCCTTAGTTACAAATTCTGAGCCCAGAACTTGCAGGGATAAGAGACTCTGAAACACAAGAATGAATCAAGGTCAAGAATTCCTGGTGTACTCTGCTATACATACACACTCACACAAACAGAATCCCCGCTGTGCACAGGTAAACGCACACACGTTTTATCTTGGTCTTCCTCCTCTATACCTTTAGGCTAGTAAGAGGACTGCAATCTGCTTGGGGTTGGTGGTGAGTGGAGCTGCCATGAAAAGGTGGTGACAAAAGCAATGATTTAAAGAATCATGAGCAAAACGACAAATTAAACTTCTAACCTGTTGAAACAAAAATTATACATTTTTTTTACAGAAAAAATGTTTTAGTATTTTAGTCTGGTGTTACAGAAGTTGTAATGACTGAACTGTCTCTCAATAACAGCAGAACAAATCTACTGTTACTTGGAACAAACTGGGAGGGGAATTTCTTCTTAATAAAGTGCTCAATGTTCCCAAGGGAACTGTCAGAGAACAAGAACGAGCCACTTATCTGCTTTGCATGTTAATGCCAACCTATTCTCGCTCGTCACTGTCACAGAGTGGGAAGACAGGCCGGCGGGACTGGAAAGCAGCAAACGTCGGTGAGATCTGAAGCCCTTTAAGTGCTTCTACAAGACACAGTTCCTTAAGGATACATTCAAAATAAGGATTCCGGAAGAAAACCACAGAATCGGCCTGACCTGAAGGAGAACACACCCCACCTGTCCCGGGCTCCAGCTCCGAGCCCCGCTCAACCACACTCGTGCCGCCGAAGCCCACTGTTTACAAAGCCCCGCAGAGGGGACGTGCCGGCCTACGTCTCCTCCCTTCCAAGCCGGGTCCCTCTCACTGCTCTTCGGCCTCAGGGTTGAGGGGAGCGTGGCCGCCAGGCACGCGCGGCCCCGGCCCGGGCCTTCCCGCAGACTCCACCC